CCGGTGGCCTTTGTCTTTGTATTGGATTGTCCCAGATGAATGGAAAGGTTGAAAGAGAGTGACCAAACCTGGCTGATTTGATTCCCCCCTCACCCGCACTCCCACCCGGAGTAAGACAAGACCCAGGAGGATAGTAGCGGTCTGCTCCCCTGTGCCTCAGGATGGAGGCGAGGAAGAGGCAGGTGGAACATGAGAGGAGGTGGAAATCAAGGAAGATGGACTCGGTCAGATAGTGTTGGAAGAGGATTGGGATGAAGCCCTCTGCCCTGACCTCCATCCTCTACACAACGACAATCAGCGAGAGATGACTCCCTGTGCCCAAGTCTGTCCATGTCCGTCTATTAAGGGCCGTTTTGTCTTCTTCTTCAAGAAAAACTTTTGGTGTGGTGCGAGGGGGGTGTTGGTGTCCTGGGAGCTACAGGCCCATACAGTATGTAACAGCAATTGTAAATTCTCAGGGTTGTGTATTCTGCCTGCAGGAAGACGGTGATCTATTTCCCCCATTATTCTTTAGAAGGTATCACTTGGACCTGGCAGCAGAAAGACACAACATAAAGAAAGTATATTTTTCGGGCATCAGTAGCAATCTCTATATATATTTTTGTCCTCACTGCTGGCATCTCTCACTGTCTCTTATTATTTTGTTTGTTTTATTTGTTTTATTTATTCATTCATCTTTAGCCCTTTGGCGATGTCGCAGTGCAGCCCTCGGCCACGGTTATTGTGTTAGCATCGAACCCCTTCTTCACAAATCATCTTCAGAAAACTGAAATATTGCAGAAGGTTGAGATGTGGGAGTTTGAGTTTGATGCATGGAGATAGATGAAGTATTGGATGGAATAATTTATAAGGCCCCCGGCTCTCGCAGCCTGCAGCCCAGCCCAAGAAGCACGGCGCTGACAATGCTGAGGTTAGCGGTTCAAATCCCAGAGGATTATCTGGCAAACTGAAGTATATTCTCATTCAACAGGACTAATTGAATAGAACCAGCAGCTTAGAGGGCATTTTGTAACAGATCATCAGGGTTAAACCTCAGCCGACCACCAATAAAGGCTGCTGGAGTCTCCGTTCATTCGAGATGCTTACTTGTCGGTTTTATTTCGGAAATAAATCTCTACATTCAGGAATTCTTTATCTTCAAATGTTGTTCACTCCGGCAGGATAACCCATTGAAACGCTTCAGGGAAACCAAACTGAAGGTCTTGTCTTGGGCTGTGGGACATGCAGAGTGATGCTGTATGTTGGTCGGCACTTTGAGGGAAAATAAAGAGACGAATACAAAACGGCCACCTTTCTTTTAGAAAATGAAACAGCTCAAGTCTGCTGGCCATCGTCAAATATGCAAAAGCTACAGGAAAGCAGCAAGGTGCCTGTTTCAGGGGGTGTTGGATGAAAAGTTCTGAATGTTAAGCACTGTAGCTCCAAGGGACCACAGTATGGGGAGGCCACGCAGCCGGTGCAGGCGCTATAACAATGACAAGATTAGCCTTCGAAGTCACTGTTCCTCCATCACATCCATGCTCTCTGCCTCACTGCACAAAAAAGCAGCTATCGTGGATGCAATCCCGTGAGTCGGTGGACATTTACAGCGAGCTCCCATTGGAGGGCTTCCGAGTCCTTCTCCTCCAACTTATTCACTAAGAAGCCTCGCTCCGTGGCTGCTGAGAGAGGCATGCATTTCGTCTCGGAGTTGGAGGCATCAGCGGCCGGCCGTTCCGCCTCTCTTCCCCTCGTCCATAAATTCCCTGTGGCTCTGGAGGAGCAAGATGAGAACCTCTGGCTATGATTTATGGGATGTCATCTCCAGGGGAACCGTTGGAAGCCCTGGCTTCCACCATTCAGTAAAGGAGCAACTTGCCGGAGGGCAGAACCAGTTCCCCTGGGTCCAAAGGTCTGATGTTGTACCACGCGCAGACAAGCTGGGTTCACATTATTGTGGTGTTCCAAAGACCATGATCATGTGCTTCAATGATCTTCCCGTTTATTAAAGAATGTATTCATAGTTAATCACATTGAGAACAGGGTTAAAAGATTGATGAATTGAGAACTAATAAATATGGTTCCGGGCTTCAAAATGTTGATGTCCTGAATGTATTTGAATCTGAAGTCCTCATTACCACATTAGCTTTCTGTACATCAAATAGTAACAAATGTAATCTTGTATGATTACTCTAACATGATTAGTGATGTTCTCTTTCTTTCTCAAAGTAGTAATTTCAGAAACATATTTCTCCGTGAGCACTGCGGAATTAGTGAAACAATAACAAAACATGGCTAGCTTTGCAACCTATTAAGCACTTAAGTATTAATTAAGGAGACATTACTAACCACCAAATGTTGACGTATGTGTTTATCTATGGACAAACAAACACATTCTTCACACAGTGTCCCACTTTCCTCCATTTGCACTGATGGCAGCATTAAGCAGTAATTTTGCAGACTTAATCCACTTTAAATTAGAGGAGGTTTTCAAAGGATTCTGTCTTAAGAGTGCCCTATAAAAAGGCCTCAGGAGACTCAGATGCAGCATTCATTATTTAAAGGAAGGAGAATAGAAGGGGAGGGGACAGCGAGTTTTGTCTGATTTTTAAACTACCGGCCAAAAGCTTTTACCTCGCCGCTTTTTACGTCTCCCCTTTTATTCCCCTCACCGAGCGCCACGAAAAAAAAAAAGAAATAAAGGAGACAAATACACATTTAAGCGGGAGGAGAAGCAGAGAGCAAACGAGGGACAAAGGCTGAAGAAAACCCTGGAGCTGTTGGAGAAGTGCTGAGACCAGCAACGTCACGCCTGAATCATGACAGCGGCGATAACCGCGGAGGAGGAAAGTTCACGCGTTGCCACTGAATGTTTTTAACACCAAATTAACTCACATTTGTTATAATATAGATGTCGCAACGCAATAAATCCTCTCCAATGCATTAAACATCTGCCCCGCTGAGACGGTGACTGTTGTGCTGACGCTGTAATTCTGCTGCTCCCGGTTGATGAATGAAGGTCACTATTTCACACCTGTGTGACTTTGGCAGAGAGCTCGCTGCACACCTAAGGGACGGTATGCGAGCGGGGGGCTGGCTGTATATCTCTCTCTGCATTAAATATCACCAGCTGTACATCTCGCTAAAACAGGGAAAAACAGAACAGCTGCGCGACACAATGAAATGACTCCGGACCTGATGCATGGCGTTCTATGAGCACCCCGAGTGGCGATGGCGGGGTGTTCCAGGGCTGGTGCCGGGGAGCGGAGAGGCGGAAAGGAACGAAGGAAGCAAGTGTTGAGCTGCCGGAGGCCAAAGGAAAGAAATGTCCAGTCGAGTGATGGAAGTGCTGACAGGGCGACGGAAATGTGTTAGAGTGAAGAACGCTTTCAGAGTGGAAATCACTGCCTCATCACTGCACTGACGTACACACAGAGACAGCAAGAGAGACACAGATGAATGTGAACATCAAGGCACGCACGCGCTGGTATTGGCGCGGTCACAGCAGGTGATGGAGGACACTTTTTGTGTTTTGAACTTGAGTGCATGTGGTTATCAAGACCAAAAAAAAAAAAAAAAGAGAAAACACGTCGTTTTGAGTTGAAACCAAGAGAGCGTTTCTGGGTGGGGAACCTTACAGCGTCCTCTCTTTGCGAAAGGGGCTGGCGTTGTGCAGCTTAGAACAGAGGTAAAGAAGTGAAGAAGACAAAAGTGACACATGTTTTACAATGCCCCGGGCGAGGAGAGAGAGAGAGCGCCTCCTCTCTTCATATCACATCCAGAAAAGTGGAAACATTTCGCTTGTATTGCTTGCATACCTAAGAGGGCCCGGGCAGACAAAAAGTGTCTGCAGAAAAGATCCGAGTCGAGAGCCGCGGCTTCTTGACGAGGAACAAAAATAGGAAAAGGCAAATGTCACCTTATCTTTTCCTCATAAAGCACCTGGAAACTGCGTGAGTCTTGGATTTTTAACACCTTGAATGGGAAGGACTGTAAAACCAGTGTATGTGATTGAAAAATGATCCATGATATATCTTGCATATTGCTCTTTTTTTATATATAAGCCCCCACGGAAACACACACCATATACATATCAAATATTCATGGCGTTTAAAGGAGTTAATGTACATGGAAAGTAATTTAAACATTCTGAGGTATTGCAGACAATTTTTCAACATGAAAGAGAACTTCCCTAGACTCCTCTCCTTTATGAGTTGTACTAATTGACCGTTCCCTGCACCCCTCCAGTGAACAGCAATTGTCCAATCATAGCGTAGCAACTGTAACTAGGCACAGCTGGCCTGTCAAGCTCTGGATTTCTCTTCATGCTAAAGTGGTGTACACAGGGTTGTAGTAAGAGCTGTATTCAAGGAGTTAGATGCAGATTTGGCGCCTGGGATTTGAGGCCTTGGAGTGATTCTTAAGTAATTCATTTAGACCCCGATTTTTTTTGTTTTGTTTTAAATGGGTCCACTGGAAATATAAGATGTTAGCTTGTTATTTTCAACCATCTCATAACGGTCATGTAAAATCAGCCAACATCGGTTCACACCAGAATAAAAATGACACAGTGAACCCATTATTATTAGTAACCTTATTGGGGCTGGGTATCATCAGAACCAACAAAGTTTGTAATTGTTGGCTTTGTGAGCCATGTTGCTTTTATTGCCGCTGTTAGCTGCTGGAAGTGGTGCCAGGCATCTCTGTGCTAAGAGCCGCATGGGTTGAAGCTGCAACGGTAGTCGGCCACCATTGTTTCTACTGAGGTATTTTTTTGAAGGGAGAATTTTGATACAACATTGTACTAGCCTATTTCAGTTGATACCTTAATAAAATAATGTGTACAAATACCCAGCCCTAATACATACGTAATGGTTGAGTATGGAAAGCTTGACTGGCATAAAGTAGCTAAGGGGGCAGGGCTTATCAAACAGGCAATCTATTAATTCTACCCACTGTTACCCACTAAATCCCGCATCTCCCAGCCTTCCCCAACCCCTCATTTAGTAATGCCCACTCACCATCCTCAGTGGGCACGTAGATATTGAGGTAGAGGCAGTCCTCGCTCTGGTTTTGGATGTAACCCGCCGCCACGTCAAGGTTGTCGGTGAACCACACGGGCAGCATAATCTCCGGGAGCACGCCGTGGACATTCTGAGGGCACACGGGGGCAAACTGGGTGGCGTTGCGGATCTCCTGCCAGGACCCCGGGGCTTCGGGCGGCTGGAAGCGGCGGTCGCCGATGGGTGCCGTGGCATAGGGGACGCCGAGGTACTGCTCTACAGGACCCAAGATCTCATTGTTCAAGTCCTTCTTGATGCCTCTGATCTTACCGTAGTTGGTGGTAACTAAGGGGTGTTTGGAAGGGTCCATTTTCTGGCTCGAGGCCAGGCTGAAGAGCCCAATGAGGCCTAGCAGGCCCATTAGGCACCAGTCCGTTATGAGACTATGGGGCCGCGTTCTGGACAACAACGCCTGGCGCCCTTGTTTGCTTAGAGAAAGCGGAAGGGGGTACATGACTGGATTCATGGTGTTCAGCCACCAGCTTTTAGTCTCTTTTAGGGTACTTGAGTCTTTTGATGAGAGTGTGGATTATAACCAACAGTTTGGAAGATAAAGCATGAGAGGGGATGTAAAAAAAAAAAAAAAGTAGACAGACCTTGAAAGAGTAAAACTAGTTTTTTTGTGAAGGTATGATCAAGGCCAGGAGCTCTGACGGGAGGTCAGATGGAGGGCAAAGTAGTCGCTGGGGGAAAGAAAGGTCGTCGGGGGAAGGAGGCCGACCTCGGTCTGGGTGCCAGGTCAGTGTTGATTCTGAGCAACAAGGATCAAAAACGCTACCATGGCTCTGTTGCGTTCCATCCCTATCGGCCCTCGATTATCCAGATCATTTGATCGATGCCTTTTTTTCAACAGCTGAAATCTGCAGAAAGAGGCAGAGAAGAGGAGGAGGATTGAGATTTAAAGGATAGTGACACAAAGAGGGAAAAACAGAAAGACAGAGAAGGTGGCAAAGGGGGGAGCGGGGTGGGGGAGAGAGAAAGATAAGAGAGATTATAGTTTATCTGAGGCAGAAATATATTCCATTAAAAGTTGTCAGAGCAACATTCGCCCTTCAACTGTTCAACTGTGAAGAAAAACATATCCTGAAAGGAAAGCAGTCAAGATGAAAGGACAGACAGCCTCGTTGAGATCAAGTCAAAGAGGCTCATTGGGGAACTTTTTATGTGTTTTCCTTCACACGATTACAATCCGATTTCTCCAGCATGTAGTTCTTGTGATCTGTTGTCTACTTTTTGCAATGCAATATAAGCCACAAAAACATGTAGTGTATCCTCTATTTTGAGAGCTCACGAAAACAAAGACCCATCCCAACCTCTCCTGGTGCTTTGTCTGACCTGCCAGCTTTAGTAATTGAGTAGTTCAATGACTAATGGCTTTATTAGGGAGCAATAGCTAAATAGGTTTTCAGTTTGCTGTTAAGAAAGTTTTTCTTTAATTGTATACAAAAATATTACTAATCTCAACTAAATACAGTACATAGATGTTAAATGTCCAGACAAACCTCTATCACCACTGTGCAAGAAACATTTTAGAAAAAATTATTAAAAATATTTGATTTGAATCGAAAAATTTGTATTTGTATTTGTATTCTGTATTATAAACTGCCTAAGAGCTTTTATTGCTGTAAAACATATACTTCTAACAACTGTTTTCATCTGTATTTAGTATCTAATTTCTCATTTGAACATCATGATGGCTCTATCATACGTTTCTACTCAACAGAGCTTGAACACATCATATTGCAACTCTAAGGAACCTCCATTTAACAATAGCTGGTAGTTTTATGTGGTTACAGCAGCTAACAACTCTCTCCCTGCAGCCACAGTGTTGGAGCTACTTCCGTTTTTCGAGGAATCCTTTCAGCCTACGTAGAGAACGCGCCGTCGATCAGGAGTCGACGCTTGGGATCAAGATGAGCCCTTCACTGCCCGGTAAGGTCAACGGTCAACAATGTGCGCCTGTAAGCAGCTTTTAACAGCACGGGTATTTTTTGGGCTACATGCAGAGAACAAAGACACACACGTACACACAAAGACACACCCACACACAACAAGTACACCCATCCATGTAATCTACTGTGGAAATGTGCAAATCCTCATGTAACGGACCCAGTCAGAAAAAGCAGGAGGCATGGAGGAGATTACGCCGTCACAACATTGTTGGACGGCGTTACGTAACGGCAGGAGGCCTATTGCAGTAATGAAGACTGCGCATGACAAATAGGGACGTCTCTTATGTCCGGACGTTTCCCTTTACATCTTATCAGGTTTAAACAATTCACCATTACCTCTCTCCAGCTTCTGTCTCGCTTCATTGCCGAGCCTTAATGGTCCCATTAACCGAGTCATCGCTAACCGTGTTATTGGATCGCCTGGAGCGCCTTTGTGTTTTTGTTGTCCCCTTTTTACCCACTGCCAATAAAGCCTTTGAATTTGAAAGTATGGGAGTTAAGTGTCCCGAGGCAAGACGGCAGATAATGAGAGTATATGTGCTGATAAGCAGGCCAGCAGTCTCACTCTCACACAAATAAGGGAGTTCCTCCATGTGGTCATAGAGACTGGGTTCTCTCAGAAAGCGGTAATTGCAAGCGTGACCATGTCGCCATCCGTAGTTGTTCATTGTCCACCTAAAGATACTTCAGCCTGCCTTTTGTTCCCCTCGCAGTGGACTTTTCTGTTCCGCCCACGCGCCCGTGTACTCGCGTACAGCCCGATACGAGCTCTAATTAAACCACAGAGAGTCTAGGGGCCGGCCTGCTGCGCTAAGGGACGTCCCGCTCCACCCACACACACCAACAATTTACCATTACGCTTTCATCCTCTGAAAGACATAAAAGGGAATGTGAGATGGAACGGGGCGATAATGAGAAGTGAGAATGCAGAGTGAGAGGAAACAGGTCCTGGTGTTAATGAAAAGCCTCTCTGTGGTCAGTGGAGACTCTTCCGGGTGCTCGAGGAAAAAGGCTCATGAGGTGCTGCTTCGCCGACCCTGGATTCTCTCAGCGGACTTCTAAGAGATACACATTTAAAGGCCCGAGGACTTGCACCAACCAGACTACTTGGTTCAATTCTCAGGTCCTGGCAGGCGTTACGGTGCTTGCAGGGACCTCCAGAATTTTGGGGTGCATCTGAGTGTTTAATTGCTAATTGGCTGAATTAGAGGGCCTAATTGGCCCCGACTTTGCTGTGAGCAGCGGGAGAGCTTAAGTGATTGATAAAGCAGAGGTGGGAGAGCTGAGCGTGGCCATATAAAGAGGTAGAGCACGTGCTATCACACTTACCGACACAGACTCAAAGGAGCAGGCTCTCGTGAACACACAGTGTGTGTGTCGGTGCATTCACGCACCACTATCATGTGGGTGATTCATGCTATCAGGAGAATGGTTTTTTGCACCAGCCCACAGAGAAAGAGAAAAGGAGTCGGGTCTTTTCAGCATAGACCTTTTCTGCACCCGCCCCCACTCACTTTGTCATCTAAAAACACTGCAACACAAAGGATTCTATTTTCATCTCTTGACCAACCTGTACACTGCCACCTGGATTTCAACAGGAGGGAATGAATCATTGAGGATGAGGAAAGCAATACGTAAAACGAATTTTTATGAATTATATGTGTACATTTTTCACATGCCGTCATACGTAACAACTGTCATTGCTTTTCAGCGGGCAGCAGAATTGTCTTACGTGTATTCAGTCATGGTTATAACTTCATAACAGGGTAAACCACCACAACACAACTTTGTAACACTAATCATTGCACGTTTAATTAACCTGCCGAACTGCATGCTGGGTACAGCTCGCCCGCTATCACAAAAAGAAGACACTCGGTTGCTAGATGAAAACATGGAAAAGAGCGATACAGGAGCAACAACCAGAGACCAGAGATGCTGTGTCTGTTTGGAAGGTGTTTGGTTTGGAAAAACCCCACTGAAGGTAGAATAGAAAATGATTTATTGCAAAGTTTGTCAAGCCTCTGGTAGCTAACATGCTAACACGCTAACAACAACACGCCTGCCAGTTGTGAGCGATTTGGCCACCTGCTCAGGTGGCTGTTGGTCCTTTTAGGGTCAATGAATTAACGTGTTTACTTAATAACGTGATATGCTGTCAGAATATTACAAAATATTTTACAGGACTCTTACAGGATCATTCAAAATGAGTACGAAGTGGGTGTCTAGTGCAGCGGTTCCCAAACTCAAGAATGCCGCGGCCCAATTTGAAATCTGAAAATCTTTTGCGACCCAAACCCAAACATTTAAATAATACTTAAACTGAGAAAAAGATGTGCGTTTTGTATCTTATTAATTATCAATCATTTTAAGTAAAATACAGAAATTTAAATCATAAATAATTTTATATTCATTTCAAACTTTTCTAAATTTAATTTATTTATTGTAAATGACCTCTCGCGGCCCACCTGCAGTACCTTCGCGGCCCACACTTGCTGGTCTAGTGGATTCGTGTTTGGCATCATTCTTGAGGACTACTCATGGTCACCACCCATCAGACATGAAAGATCTTGCTCTCATAGCCTGCTGTGCCATCTGGGCCGGACCCAAAAATCTGTGATGCAATTTGTTGACCTGCAACATCTCTCGCTTGTCAACAAATTAAATTAGACGATCGTACAGTCATTTACTTCCAATCAGGCCAAATGCTCGGCTATAAAATTTGTACCATTTACAAAGTCCAGTCGATATCCCACTCATGAATACGACATGAATGCTGTGAAAAATAGTTCAAGTGAACAGCTAAATACTTCTTACTAAATACTTCTTAAGGGGGAGAAGAAAGTGGAGTTACTGATTGGCAAAGAGTACAACATCAATCTGAATTTTTCCAGCGTCGTAGAATAAAGCAGCTTTATGTCTGCCACGTGTCCGAATAATAACTTTTTTTTCTATTGCTTTGGCTATACTTCGTTTTGAACAATCTGTGGAGAGTTAGCCAGAGTGCAGAAAATCTGAAACAGAAAATCTTCCAAGTGCAACACAACACGTTCATTGAGAAATGTTGCGGTGCTGTAATACTGTCTCCCAGGCCCGAGCTGAGAAGCCTAGTAAGCCTAACACATCCGCTTGCAGTAAATCAGATGCAATACAGACTTTCTGCATTGTGTTCAATGCAAAGACGTGTCGGGGACATTCCGCGCGCTGTCGGCTCAGCAACAATCCTAATTGATCCGTCTAAAAAAGTCGTTGAATTGCGATGGGAATATGAAGATTGATCACTTTTATGCTAAGCTAGGTTCAATGTCTCCTGGTTGCAGCTTCATATTAAAACGTTTTTAAAACCGAGCAGGACAAAAGCGTCTTGAAATGGCAACGATGTTATTAAACAGGCTGATTGACGGTGAGGTCGGTATCAATCGACAATGAGCACATTCCACAAAGTATTTCATTCAGCAAAGAGACCGGCAGCACACTGCTAAGTGTGATACTCGTTGAACTCTGCCTTTGGCAGGGGAACTCTTTACCGTGAGCTAATTATGCAGGGTTATATGTATTTGACACAGTTAGGATGAAGCGATTTCACTCTGGGCTCGTGTCACAACAAACGGGTCACCGAACCTATTAATGGGACCTCACGGTGAAACTACCAGACGCTTTTAGTGAGACAAGTAAAAGCTGAATATAGAGGAAGCAGCATTGATCAGGAAGTATTGTGAGGAGGTTATTAAATGAATTGATTTGAAATACTTATGCGGTAATAAAAGCCCACAAGAAAGATGGGATTATGGGTAGACTACTGCATAATTAGGTAATAGATAACTGGATTTTGTTCTATGTTGCAGGTGCCTTTCACTTGTGCTTGCTGGAAAAATGTTCTCAATAATTAAAACCGGCCTCAACAGAGATAA